TTGATACGTTTACGTATGCTGAATAAGATGGTTGGAAGTGTCGTGCAGGGTATATTAATTATGTCGTTTCGGGGCCCACACATACTGTTAAGATTGAAATTAGCGAAGGAATACTCAGAGAAAACAAAAACCTGGTAAGAGACGAATACCACTTTCATTTGGAACATAAGAGAAGACTTTTTTAGGCCCGTGAGGTCTTGGTGTTTTTAAAAAATCACCATTTTTGGGGTGGAGGGGGGAACGAAAAATTAGAGAAAATCGCCAAAAACTGAAAAAAAAACAGTTTTTACGAAAACGCCATCTGATATTCGGATTCGATAATGCGATTTGTTCCAATTGGAAAAAGTTGAAATTAATTCTTAGATTTTTAAAATTTAATATTTTTAGCGCATTTCCACAAAAATAAAAAAAGCGCTATTGTGGCCACTTTGTCCGTCCGTCCGCTAGTTGTTACTGCTTCTACTTATTCATTAATACCAAATGTATACGTACATAATGTAACACGTACTGTATTGTTCTAATAACGCGCTAGAAAGAGAGTACGTTTTCCTAATAAATCTAATCTAATTGCACTTTCCTCTTCGCCATCGGAAAAGTGATAGATAAAGAATAACATTTTATTTTCTAAGAGTTACGCCATTGACTGAACTTTTCACCTAAAGTAAAAATTGCTAAACTTTGTTGTAGCAGAATTTTTATATTTACTTGAACCTAATCTGGTTACAGCTACAAAATTGCATATGTCCGTATGTGTTTGCATTTTCTCAAATTTCATTAAATCTTCTAATGGAGCTACCGCCGCTTCTTTAATTAAATTAAACGTGCAATTAAAATACAATTGCAGAAAATAACATTGCATTCGCATTTTGTTCGGTTCATTGTAAGTTCGTCGAAGACACGCCGGTTTGAAAATGTCATTTACTTGGCCTAACTCCAGACGATACATTGCAGACATTTTATTTAGTATTAGAATTTGATGTATCAAGCGGTGGCTATGAATGCTAAATGCCATGCCGTTCTATCCTCGAGAAAATAAGAACGCGAAGTTACTGTAAAATTCCTGGACTGACCCAAGTTTATAAACTGATGTGTAACTCGATCTGGAAACGTCAGGTCCTCTTTTAGTGGTATAATGATGGAAATGGATATCAGATTAGAAACTTGTCAGAGTAGGATTGTAGGAAAGGTCGGCGATATCCACATCAAACTTCAACACGCTTTATTGTGGCCAAATTTTCTACAGTTTCCTTTAAGATCCTTCTATGGATTCATCATCATAATACATACAGAATTGATTGGAGCAGCTAGTGAGTGCAACCTTTTGAATTTGGTGGAACTACAAAAATTTGCTATAAATGACTATAATAGTTTAGGCCAAATGAAATACTTATATTTATCTAACGCAAGAGGGTTACAAGTTATATACAAATTCCATTTTGGGTATTTCTATTTCTTCATAAAAATTCAAAAGGGCTTTGCCTGCTCTCTTGCTGAACATGATTTTAGCGTGTATTTTTTAAATTAGCTTTGTAGGTAAAGAAAACGAATTATTGAAAATCTATCATCCAATTGACCTACTAAAGTCCGGGTGTCTTCTCCCTAAATTTTGTGATTGCGATTTAAAATTAAGTGGCGAAACAGCGCGTTTGCTGTTATACAGTGTAGAATGCATTTATAGAAAAATTACAAGGGCTACTGTTATTAGTAACAACTGGCAGACATACGCAGCGGAGGTCAGCCGCTGCTACTATATTTAAGTCTATTGCATTCTTCTCGTTGAGTTGTGTCATTGGCTGCAGAATCCCAGGAATAAACATACTGTCAACCTCGGTGCCTTCGCATCCGAAAAAGAAAGACTAATTAGATTTTGGAACATTTGATTAAAGTTAATTCGTCATTAATGTGACCTATTTATTTTGTTTTTTATGTAATTACGGTTAATATGATTTCAGTGGTTATGCTGTTGAGCCGCCGGTATATAAAAGTGGCGGTGTTAATTAGTCGCAAATGTACAGGATGCGTTTGATATCCTGACACATGTGGGAGAGAGGATTTGATCACGACCCTACTTGTACTCCTGCGTTATTTGCAAATTAATATTGAACTGTATATTAGTTTTGACTTTATATGGAATATTTTAATGAGTATGCACTTAACGGATAATTAACAACGTTCATTAATTAGCGGAATTATTGAATCGCATAAAACGAAATTACTTGGAGGTACAAGCCTTCCGGTATCTACTTATAAGTCGCTTATGAGTAGTTTTTAAGTAATTATTTTAGCACCTGGCGCTGTTGGTGCAAGAGACTATTTTAAAACTGGAACGTTTCGACATTCGTAACACAACCTATCGGTACGCTCGACAAAAATCACTTCGTCAAACAGCGTATTAAATGAAATGCAATGGATCAATTTAATGAAAGAGGAATACAAATTAGTTCGGATTTATAATGAAGGTTGTTTTACTTTATGTTGGCTGTAATAGTAGCGTTACGTTAACGTTTATAAAATTATGACTTTGTCTGGTTTTATTTTTGATCGCTCTACTCTGCCTGGAATCGATTCTTTGGCGACAGATATCCTACGTCTGTGCGCTCTAACGTACCTACTTCTCTTGCAAACATAAATTAATTATCAGGAAATGTTAACCAGCTGTATTTTGTATCTACCCGTCAAAATTGTCACGTGAGGGAAAAACACCCAACAGCAAAGGTGGCATCTGAAGTGATAACGTTAATGCGCTTTTACTTCTTAAACAGCGCTCCTCCACAGCCACTTCCCTATAAGAGATCAGCCCTGAGATAAATCGAAAAGCGTCTTTCGAGTTATAACCGAAAGTTTCATTTACAAATAAAATTCTCATACCATCATTTTTCGTCTGCTTTATAACACTTTCAGGTCATTTTATGACACTTTCGTTTTTATGTAGGTATATACATTTGCCTTTTTCACTACTCCATTTTGTTCCTTAAAAGCCTAGTAGTTTTAAAGAAGCCCAGCCTGCACTTAATTAATCGACTACCGACACCTTGCGTAGCTTTCACTTCCTCATTTAGTAAGAACAATCAGCTATCGTGCGTCTGTTCACCAAATGGAACTGTCGCACATTCAAAGAATGCATTAGTCAAACCATTTCGTTATCCATAAAACTACACTATAATGTTATAAAAAAATCCTAGCGTTTCGTCAGTCTGTAATGGTTTTTGCAGTTTCCATTACGAGCATGAGACCACTATGGCTGTCAGACGATCTTGATTTGACTTGGTTATGTTTAGTGTTCGGCTTCTTTACGCTTTTGCCACCATTTAATAAAAAAAATGCTGACCCTAATAAGAGTTTTAATCATGTCTCAATCTTCAACTGACCAGCCTTTTCCGCAATAATGTATTGCATCAATTTCATCCGATATCTTCCAAATTACTGCACTTATTTTCATTTCATTTCATAACTTCTTAATAATTGAATGTTGCTTTCTTTATTAGACAATGGTCTAAGCCTAAGCAATTCGCCACTCGGTTACAGAGAGATTGAACGAAATATCTTATCTATAACAGGAACTTTACAGCAAGAATATCGCAGAAGTGCGATCGGAAACGATACTTATCATATTACTGCTTCATCCAAATTTTCTGTAACAGAACACAAATTTAAAAAAAAAGTGCTATACAGAGACCTTGTAGGTGTCGGTGTGTATAAACCATTTATTGTATTTCCGCTATGTTTTATTACCAAGCCACGATTTCCTAAATTTAGAAATTTGAGTTAGACATACTAATTTATTGCAACTTATTGAGCTGGAGCCTAGGCTGATGTGTTAAATGACACACAAAAACCTATCATCCATCATGATAAAAATATCTTAAATTATTACCTTTTGTATTGTAATTATTGTTTGTGCATAAATCAGAGCAATACCAGCAGCAAATACACCCCATCAGCACCACCATTTAAATTGACACTAATTTCATACAACTTTTCGTTCTTATCTACATTCCATATTGCGATAAATCACTTGTTCTTGCATTCGTTCATGAGATTTTTTAGGTAATCTTCCTCAATAGGACTTGATGTGGGAATGGAAGGTATGATAATAGACGACGAAAAGTAAATCATTTATATGTATTATCAATTCATTAACGGTAACTTTTAAATATTAATATCTGAACAAAAATTCTGATTTCGACTTAGTAATCTTTTCCTCGATCTTTTCCTGAATAATGTCGTAATGTCCAGCGATTACTAAGAAAAGGCAAACGCGAAATTTTGCAGGAACTCTTAAATACGGTTTTTGAAATCATTGTTCATTAAAGCGCAGTTAAGGATTGAAGACTACAGAAACGTTCTACCCTTACCCTAATGAGTACCGTTAGATGTTAAAAATGTTGGGAACCAATAATTTGAAAGGGACAAACAGTATACGGTTCTTTTAATATTAGTAACCTCCAATGGTTCACAAGGATTCTTTTATAATGTGTAGGAAACCGACACTAATAAATTCCCAGGTAACTTGCTAGCCGTTGCGTTGTTGCGATTCTACTTTTCCGAACCAAGGTTAGCTGCTGCATATACCTGGCCATCGCACCCGCGGCCTCTTATTTATTAAGTTCTGGAACATGTATACAAATAAAGGAATAGAAGCGAGCCAACATATTTTATATTACTAATTCGACCTTTAATTTCTTTCCACCCATAACTTCTGTCTATCGCGTGAATAACAATCGGTTAGATAAAAACTTGAACCGCCGTCGAAGAATGGCCAAAAGCCAGCCCTATTGCATCGGTCTCGCATGCAGTCAGTTCGCCAATTTATCGCCCGCGCACAAGGTAAATGTAAGTGACCTGTCGGCAGGTTGAAGGGCGTAACTGCAATAGCCGACGGCGATGCATAGTCTGGCGAAGACCGCCAATTTTGTCAGTTGACCTATTTGGATCGGAATTAATTATTTTTAATAACTTTATCTTAAAATGTCCACTAACGTAATGTTTTTTTGTTACAGGTTGCAAGATCAAAGCGCTTCGAGCAAAGACCAACACTTACATCAAAACACCTGTACGCGGAGAAGAGCCAGTTTTCGTGGTCACTGGACGCAAAGAAGATGTTGCGAAGGCAAAACGTGAGATACTATCCGCCGCCGAACATTTTTCCCAAATTCGTGCATCGCGTAAAAGTAATTTAATAGGTGGTTTAAATGGTGCACCACCCGGTCCACCCGCCAACGTGCCGGGCCAAATAACCATCCAAGTGCGTGTGCCGTATCGCGTTGTTGGTTTAGTAGTTGGACCTAAAGGAGCAACTATTAAACGCATTCAACATCAAACGCACACATACATTGTGACGCCAAGTCGTGACAAAGAACCAGTATTTGAGGTAACAGGTATGCCAGAAAATGTTGAAAACGCGCGAAGGGAAATTGAGGCTCACATTGCACTACGTACGGGAAATGGAGCATCCGTAAATGGGCTTAATGGTTTGGGAAACTTAGATGAGTCGACAGATATATTAGCTTCGCTTTATAAGACTGGACTAAACTCAATTTTTAATTATATTGAACCTTCTAGTAACGATGCCTTTAGTAACATGACATCTTCCACTGGTAGCTCTGGTGCATTTTCAAGTTCCGGGTCGTGTTCGAGTAGTTCTTCGAGCTCGGGCGGTCGTGCCGATTTAGGAGCAATCTGGGGTTCAAACGATCGCGATGAAGGGCTGGGCGACTCGCCAAGTTTTGATAGTTCAACCGCCCTATCAAACATATGGTCATATCAACCAGCACCTACCCGCCCCTCACCACCAAATAGCACCAGTCCTGCAGATTCTCTATTAAGTTCGGCTAAGTGCTTAGTGTGTAGTGAAGCAAAAGTTACCCACGCGTTAGTACCTTGTGGTCATAATTTCTTTTGTATGGACTGTGCCAATCGTATAATATGCCGCGAAGGTACCGATGGTCACTGTCCAGTCTGTTCATTACGGGCTCAGCAGACCATTCGTATATACTCGCTTAATCCCTAAGGTGTTGTAACTTCATCACTATTCGATCGATCTCCCTCGAATATACTATATTATCCTCATTGCGCCGCCATCCACATTCCCCGGAGACCGCGCGCTGTGTTCTTCATACACGGTTCGTGTCGTGCCGTTTGGTCACATGGTCCACAACGAATACCTACTAGAATTACGAAGTATATTTTTGTTGTTTCATTCATTGTTTAGAATGTTTATTTTTAATGTTAGAAATGTGCGATTCGGACGGCGCGAGACGTACCAGTGGCGTAGTCGTCATTTTGCCAGTTTGCATGTTACTTTTGTTAATCGTAACCTTATTCTTTTTATTACTATTATAGTATTAGATTCGCAATCGAGTTTACTTTGTATTTTTATGTGTATGCGCTTACGGTAGAATCGTCTTCATATAAATAAACCCATAAAAGACATAATGTGACACATTAGGTTAATATTGTTTTATAAGAATAAACCGTTACATATTTTCGTTACTTTTATATTTTTGTAAATTCATCACGTTATTGTCATGGTGTTATAAAGTCTGAATCTGATTATAATTTAAGTAATTTAAGATAAATTATTAATATTATTAATCGAAAGTGGTTGGAAATGCACAGTTCTATGTGCATTTCCAGCTTTCAAAACCTTACACTGAAATGCAGATTCAACATTTTTCCCTCTGATATAGTCACAGTCGAGTTATGCCAGGTGTATATGTGTTCAAAATTTGCATGAAAACTGTTTCATGTGAACTAGAATTAATTTGAAATTATTTAAACACGAGTATAATGCGATTGTTAGTATTTTGGTAGGCTTTAAAAACTTATGCTTTTGCGGTAGTCCGGTGTCACTTCTTAGGGCAATATTAATTAAGAGGCATACATTTTAGTAGGGGATGACTATATCTCGGCTGTGATTACTACTGCCACAGGCCACTGCTATGCTGACTGATGTATATACAAGTAACTATACATATCCCTTATTGTTAGTCGAATGTGAGACCACTCATTGTTGCTATTGTTCTGTTGTGTCGTGTGATGTGATAATATATAATTTTTATATTTCTTATAGCGTATAAGTTAAGAAAATATAAAATTATTTATATGTAATTTTATATCCTTCAGTCAGCATTAAAGAGCTTTTGCAATTCTTACTTTTACGTTCACAGCCACAGCATGCGCTGCTACTTTTAAATAAAAACTCAGTATTTACATCTACATAACAGCATACTTCTCAAAAATTATTTTTTCCATTTCCTAAGCACCATTAGGCTTTAGTTCTCTGCATTTTTATCATTAATCATGCACATTTAGTACACTGTAGTACTTTCGGCTGACATAGACCGTTTGTTAGTACTACTTACTACTAACTATATTGATATTAGGTATTATTAGTAATATTACTTTGGTATACTGTGTTTACCTAGAGATATTGTATGATTTCGTTTTTGTTTCTAATGTGCTAGGAAAAGAAGTAGCTATTTATTTACAACGTGCGATATAAACAAAATGCTTAGTGTTATGAAACTATTTGTTGCTAGTTTTTTATTTAAATTAGGCACCCACAGTATACACACACTTATAAAAAAAAGAGAAATATTTTATTTATTTTTTTTATTATAACGTTAGTGTTATAAATTAAATTAATATATTATGACTGCATACATATAGAAAAGGCAAACGGAATTTGTCAGTCGTTTATTGCGGGTCTCCCCTCCCGATGACTTAGTTTGTTTATACGTATACTGTAAATAGGTTGTTGTTTTATATAGCTATTAATAACATATTAATTATTATTTTATTTTTTTACCTATTTTTGTGAAGATATTTAATAATGAATGTTAGTACAATGCGTGCAGTCAGTATGTGTTCACAGTTTGTGTGTGCATGACTGTTTGAAATACATAGTTTAATTAGAGTTTTTGATTAATTATTATATATTTATATTGATATTTTACTTATAAACAAATCTTGTGGTGATTTCTTTTTGTAATTTTGTATTTTTTTATTCGTTTTTGACGATTAAATATATAAGTACGTTTTCGATTAGAAATTTTAAAAATTAACATCAAGTTGCTAGGTTTGGTCAACGCTTACTTCTACATAGACCAACAGAGTCGTGCGTCACGATATATATGTGATATTAATTTATGTAGTGATTGACCATATATAAGACTTATTCACATATATATCTGGAACACGTTACGAAATTACATAGTAAATAATAATTAAGATATTAATGACTCTTATAAATTAATTTACCAAATATGCGAATAAATTTTTTTTGATTTATATAATTTTTGTTTATTTTCCTTTTTTTTCACTAGGTATCAAACGCCTTTCGTTGTGTCCCGCATGAGATGTGTTTTAATTTTTTTTGTCGTTTGATGTCAAGCATTTTCATCTGCATGTTCGATGGCTACCGTAGACTTAAGTAGCGCACAAAAGCACGTCATGTATTTGTAGGAAAATCGCGTTTTATATTTTAATAATAAGAATTATAATCATATAATCGCGTGATGTAGGTGTAGCTACTACTAAATAATAATTAATCAGGTGAACTTTAGCGTTTTCTGCTCAAAATGGCCAATAATGGCTGCTTGTGAGATCCAGAATGGTGTTATTTTAGTAGGCAATAAGATATACGAAAGAAAATTCAAATTCTTCCGTGTTTCTATCTACCTCAACCTAAGGGATTTTTGCATTTAATTCAAAAATTACAGACACCGTTTTATAAAGGAGAGCTTTTTTAGTTCATTTTCGAAAAATTAATCGCCGAAACATTTTAAGAATGACTTTATTTACGAAAGAAGTTCCGATTCCCGTTTGCGGAGGTAGAAAGAAAGAAAATGTTGACCATTTCTTTCGCGAATGACTGAACGTTAACACCATTCCTAAAGGGCACGACTTTGAGGAGGTGCTGTGGCAACCGATTTATTAATAAAGTCTTCCTGCCCGGAAATCACGCAACGTTTTATATAACAAAATTTGGTTAAACAATGTTAACATTTATATAAGCGAATTTTAATAATCTAAATTTAGATAGTTAAATTGACATTTTCTCCTGTGTGTTTTTTGATGTGTATTGTGTCTATTTAAATTTGGAACAGTTTGCTTGGAAAGAATTGGTTCTAAATATGAATGATTTATTGAACCTTATATTTCCAAACAAAATATAATGCTGCAATAATACGTTACATAGAATTTCACTGCATTGGAACGCTGCTGTGAGGCAGCTTCATTGTTCACAAATTGACTGCGACACACATTGCAAATCACTCTGTATATTATTATATTTTTAAACACGTAATATACAGGCCTAACTATGATACTTAAGTAATAACTAATCTATATTTCATATTTAATATATACAAGAGTAATTTTTGAAATAGTCTAACAAGATACATATAGATGTTACTAGGAAAAGCACTGTATATTATGATGTAAATGAAGAATTTATGATAAGATATATTATATCTTTTTGTAGCCTCCTATAAGACAGTTGCTTAGGGTCGTAAGATCCACTGTTACGTGATTTCAACGGGTTGTAGCCACCACATAGTAGGAGAACGAGATACTACGATATATCGTATGGTTCGAATTGCTTGTTAAAAACGGCCCTTTGAATTTCAAACGATTTATGACACTTTGTCTTAACGTAACTGAAAGCAATAAAATAACGAATAAATTTCAATATAATAATTGTAGCGTTATCTATTTATCTACTATGGGTAATACAAGTAGAGTAGAATAACTCGTATTATTACAAGAAAAAAAGGCGTAACAGGAGGTTACTTTCGACTCAGGCTAGTCACCCGCTCAGCATTTATAAATTAAATAGTTAGCTGTAAAATGTTGAAAGTATTTCTATATTATTATTACTATTAAATGTGTGCGAGTTGTCTGGACGTACTATATATATTATGGTTAGAATTTGTCATTTTGTAAGAACTGTGTTAAACAAATGCTTTATCGCTGTTGGACATTACTAATAATTATCATCGAATGATATAAAAATTATTTTCTCCTTTGTGACTGTTTAAAGAATTTCTAAGAGGAATTGATGTATATAATTATTCTTTAAATATATTGTGTTACAAACCCCACATTCCATATTGCATATAAACCATGAAAATCCGCCGCAAAATAACGACACTGCGGCAATGTGAAAAATAGTAACTTAGCACAATAATTGATCATATCAAATTTTCACTGTGATTCGTAAGACTGACTTAAGTGTTATTTTGGAAAGGAAACGTTGACACAAATTCCCCTCTCCTTATAATAAGAGTTGTTTATTTATAAATTTTTTCCTATTAACTTAGTTTGTTATGTACCAACAGCTGTAAAGTGAAAAGAAAAAAAACAAAAAAAAAAGATTATAAAAACCTATTTAAGTGTGCATATTTTTACAATTTTTCAAGAAATGGAAAATGAATCAATAAATATATATAAAAAAAACCTATATGAATAATACGTATACTATTTAAATATTGTAGAAAAAAGCCAAAGCTATTATGCTTTTGTATAAGTTGTACTTAATCATGTTGCTTTTTTTAAATTATGAATTTTTATACGCATTAGTTTATAAAAGTTGCACATTGACAGTTGGACAGAATGTAATATGAACAACGTATATTAGTTTATTATTGTAAGTTTTAGTAAAATTAGCGAATTGGCTCTAAATCATTTGCAAGAAGATGACAAAACCTTTAGATAATGTATTTTTATAACACATATCGTCCTCAAATGGGTGAAATAAAGTAATATACGCACTGTTCATAAAAAAGAGATTCTGTTCAATTTCATACACTTTAAGTAATTCGTAGTAAATTGGGGATCATTCGCATCGTACATCGATAAATTAGTCATTCTAAAAAGTTGCATTATTACTAATATTCTGGTGCCAAAATATAAAGTTACTAACTATGCCAGGTAACACGTAATACAGGGTGCAGTTTTAACAGCATTAGCTAATATTTTTCATTAAATCGCATTTTTGCATCTAAGTAAAGAATCGTTCCATTAGGTAGTGCTGAATAAAATTTAACCTTCCCGAACGTGTTCCTTACCAATTTATAAAATAACTGGTGACCAATAATTAAACTTTTATTCTTATTTCATCCTCAGTATACCTGCATCGTATTTGTAGCATAATTAAAGTGAAATAATTATACTACCGATTAGGTGTAACAATTTCACTTACAGCATTTTCTATTTTATAATATATTTAAATAGTTAGTGATAAAACGTAAGAGTTGTTACCTACTTTATTTTGAATAAGTTAGAAATAATGCGCACCATGTTATCACACCAATTACTTAAAATTTTAATGGTCCTACGCTATCTTGAAGTGAAATTCGTATATTTTCGTATTATTCAATGTTTTAATGTGCGTCACGATAATCTACAGGTACTAGAAATTATCATAATTCATTCGGTTCGTGAAAAAAATTGATGAAAAAGTAGTTTGTTGTTATGATTTTTGACTCGAAAAACATGATGTACAGTTTTGAAGATTATGTTACAGTTTAAAAAAATTTGCTTACGTATACCTAATCGAAATCAATATTTTTACAGAAAATATTTTTATTATTCGATATACTTATTTTCGTACGATATTCAGAGTTCCACTGAACGTGTTCTCGATGTGAAATATTTATATGAGTGTTCATGGTGTGTATATTCTTATAAAAAAAATAAATGACAGTACCGAAATATTTCGAAAGACCTATCCGGTAAAGTTAAGGGTAAAATGGATAGTAAAAGCGTTCGAAATAGTTTGCGTACATTTATAGATTGTTAATTGTGAGGATGTCGATAAGATTTAAAAGTGAATGCAGTGTACGAGCATTATACTAATCGAGTTAACCTCCCCATATAATATTTTAATGATTGACACATATACGTAGCGTATGTTTATGTAGCAGTATTTTGTACGAGTACACGTTTTTCGGAAATATATATTCTCTACTTGATATTATTATCTTTCTAATAACTAAATACATATAATAAATGTTGCTATACCATATTATTACTTAATTTATTTTATCATACACCCATATAAATATATATTATAGGAATATTCTATATATATCTAGTGGAATATATTAAATATAAATAAAGACGTATTTGTATTGGATGTACTTATTTTTCTATCATTCCTTTTAAATATAGTATGCATACCTCCGGTCGAAGTCGCCGTTAACTTGCGAGTTGTGGTTAGTTTTCATCGAAAATACAACATTTTGCAGATTTACACGAAAAAATGGACCGCATACACGTCTTACTTGAAGCTGATGGAAGTGTTATGAGAAATCCAGAAAACAATCTTGTTACTTGTATCTGCAAGAAATAAAACAAGTAATAGTTATGTACATACACATTGTTCTTCTGTGGTACGTCAAATAGCATGTGATTTAAATTGCTAATTATAATAAATAGGTATTATTGCTTTGCAAGATTGACGATATTATGTTGTGATTATCCCCCGCACTTTCAACTAATTCCGGAATAATTATTTCATATTAGGTGGTTAAGATGGGGGAAGTTCTAGTCCAGTCGGCATAAAAGGGGGTAAGCCAAGATTAAAGACCCTTATTTTATAAATTTAATATATTTCGGTTGACGTTGCAAACTTCATCAGAAAAATTGATATGTATATTGGTCCGAGTCCACCTTTTATGCCGACTACTGGACTAGGACTTCCCCTCGGACTTCCCCCATCTTAACCCCCCACCTATATCAGTTACCAGTACCTAGTGCTGAGAAGGATAATTGCTTCAGACATAATGGGATGTTTAGCTATGCTATGTTAGCTCAGCTGCTAAGTTTAGCTAACTTCCTTGAACGTACGCATTATTTCTCTGAAAAACAAACGACTGTGCGTAGAAACTACCCACGACAGTACGGGAGCGCTGAAGCTACAGTCTACTTTGATTTTTATCACAAACGTATGAGATAAAAAGTCAAACGTTTGAAATACGAAGAGGGGGATTTGAGGATACAAATTAAGTTACAAGCGTATCCAAGTCACATTCTCAATTTGGTTGATTCAGTACAGTACGGTGCGAGCATTAATTGAAGTGCTTTACGTACCTATTCAGTGTCGTGTCACAAGAGTATGGAGAATAGAGACGATGCGATCATTGATTTGTGTCGTTCAGGACTCAAACAAGCCGAAATGCTACTCTTGCTAATGAATCAGGGTTTTAATTTAAGTAAGTGAGTAAGTCTTCGTTGAAACAGCGTATTTAAATTTGCATCGGCGCAGAAACTATACACCCATCAACGA